CCCCCCCTCCCCCGCGGCCTCCGCTCTCCACTCCCACGCCCCCGCTTACCCTCAACTCCTCGAAATCCGCCATTTTATACCACCCGCGGGCGCCGCCGCCGCTGCCGCCACAGCACCCCCTCCCGCTGCCGCCAACGACACCGCCGCCACCACGGCCGCCGCCGCCGCCTCTAGCACCATCCTGCAATGGGAGCCGCTAAAGACGCCGCGGCCGCCGCCGCCGCCGCTGCCTCCGGGCCCGTCACGTGACCGCCGCCGGAGCTCCGCCCCCGGCGAGAGCGGCCCCGCCCCCAGGCGCCCCGCCCTCTCGGCCAGCCGCTTTCCGCCCGCGTCTTCCGCCAGCCCCCCAGGCCTGCGGCTCTGGCCTCGCCTGAGTCCCCGCCCCCTCCCGACGCCTGCCCACCTCCCACACGCCTTCCGGCGCTCGGCCCTGTCGTCGTGCAGCCCTCAGCCCGCGGGTGCCTCCTCTCCCTGGCGCGGAGGCCCAGCCCCAGTCCCTGAAGCGCCCTCGCGACTGCAGCGTTACCCGCGGAACTGGAGGAGGGCCTGGGCGGTGGGAGGGACGGAGAGGAAGAAGAGATGGCCGGGACTCGTGACGGGAACATTTACAGTACCCTTCCCCACGGTGGCTGTGGACGGAGGGGGCACCCACAAATAAAGGCATCCCCCCGAGTAGTTGTGGCGGAACAACCTAAATATGGGTGTTGGATAAGCTATTGTTCTGATCTAATGGGGCAAGGCTGGTGAGATCTTTTTGGGTTGCTAATATCCTCAGTACTAACCTGGCTGGTTCTTTCTGACTTTGAAGGGCGACTGAATGTCAAGGACTGCAGAGTTGAAAGGGTTGGGGGAGGGAAGTTGGAGAAGTGAAATAGGAGAGCGCTCAGAAGGGCCCTGATAGAAAGTCGAGGGGTCAGGGAAATAAGATAGCTGGGAAAGATGAAATGTCAGAGGAAGAGAAGATGTAAGGAAGTTTCACGGCACTCCTGACTTGGTGACAAAGGATGAGAAGATGCTGAGTTAAGCTGGTCAAAAAATTCGCTGGCCAAATCCAGGGTTCAAATTTCCTTGAAGAGGTGGATGGAATCCATTTAAGGCACCTAATGTTGATTCCTGGGCCAAGAATAGTTTACCACTACACCTCTTCGCCTAATTCCTGTTCATCCTTCAGCTCTCAGTTTAAGCATCACTTCTTCAGAAAGACCTTCCCTAAACCCACATGCCCCCATTTTAATTCAGATCCCTCTCTGACTGCTCATAGGATCCGAATATTTCCTTCCTGATATTTTAACATGGTAATTACGTAGGTCTTTGTGTGATTATAAATAATTGTTGTTTAACTTTTTTTCTTAAAAATGTTTTTAAACTGGCTAGACTATAATGACTGACAAATGCTTGGAAAACTGTGGGCCTCTTATTGGTTTAATGAGTAAAAGAATGAACAGTATCTAGAGTAGGTTCTAATTCTGGCTTTCCACCATTAACTTTAGCTTGGCTTATTCTTGATCTTGGCTTATTCTCCTTAGACCTTGATTTCCACCTCAGTAGAGTTTAACATTGTTCAACAGACATTAAGTGAAGACCAATGTGAGCTAGGATCTTCAGGGGAATAAAGATGAATAGAATACAATACAGCCCTTCCACCAAGGAGCTTACAACCCATAAGAAGCACCATGCCTGAAATACTGAGTTTAGTTTCTAAGCACCTGTCCTGTTAATCCTTTCTCTGCCTGTCTCTGAACCCATCAATCCTCTTGATCTCAACATCTCTCTTTTCCTGTCCACTGATTTCTTGCTCTTT